ATGGAGAAATCTATTATAAAAAGATGGTAATATTGGAATAGGGATCTCTCATTATGTCTACTCCTATTGATAGATTGAAGAAATTTCCATGTTACAGCTTGGATCAAAATTGTAAAATATTAGGGCAATCTAACAAACCTAATGTTATAGCTTACACTAACGCTGCTTGGTATAATTAGATGAGAGATTCTAGATCTCAAATAGTATCCATAAAAAGGGATCTTTATTCATAGTATTTAAGGACCTTATAGGAAAAAAAAAAAAAAAAAACACTTAAAGGGGGAAATTTATCCCAAAAAATGGCATAACTCAAATTCAGCATTTAATCCCTTAGGCTGCAACGTATCTAGTTGATATATCCATTTCATCTCAGTAATGCCCAGTTGTTTAGTATGGTCTCCTCCTCTCCAGTTTTTATTCACTCTACATATCCCCTTAAAGTTCAAAAGGCTCATATCCGAATTATGATGTTGTTTAAAATGGGCTGATACTGAATGTTGCATATAGCCTTTCTTTATATTCAACATATGTTCTCTAATTCTAATATATAGTTGCCTTTTTGTTCTTCCCACGTACTGGAGCCCACATGGGCACTCCAGTACGTATATCACGTTAGTGCTTTGGCAGGTGATATGTTCTTTTATTTTAAAAGATTCCATCTTTTTCTTACTGTTTTTGTTAGTAACTTCAAATATGCCTTTTGTTTGTTTAAACCTACTTTCTTTGCATGAAATGCAGTCCAGGCAATAGAAGAAGCCATTTTTCTTTGTTATAGTTGTGGCGTTTCTACCTTTATGATGTTTGTTAGTTATTTTTCTTCTTAAGTTCGATGCGCCCCTAAAGATAATCTTCGGTCTATCCGGTAAACTGCTGGCCAGAATTTTGTCTTTTTTCAAAAGATGCCAGTGTCTTGTAAGTATCCTTTTTAATTGTAGGTTTTCTTTATTATAATTCAAGATAATTGATGGAAATTCTTCTCCTAATTTTATTGCTCGCGATTTATCTTTATTGTTCAATAGATTAACGCGGTCTAAATTATCAACTCTACATAGTGCCTCCTCTATTTCATTGTCTTGATAGTTTTTCATCAGAAATTTTTTCTTTACTCCTTCCGCTTGTTCTCTGTAGACTTTAGAATCAGTGCAGTTACGTCTCAAGCGTCTGAATTCATTATAAGGTACGTTCTTAAGCCACATCGGTAGGTGGCAACTCTCTTTAAGAATGAAGCTATTCACGTCTACTTCTTTATATATTTTGCCGTACACTGAAAAGATCTGGACGATATCCGAACTTTCAAATGAAAGAGTGGCACAAACTAAAGCTAATTTTCAGAAAAAAATGTGTAGTCTAAACCAAACCGTTCCTCCGTGCACAAGTCTAATACAAGTCCCTCATTTTGCCAGGTGTGTTTTAAGTGCATTAATTAAATTAATTAAAGGGACACTATAGTCACCAGAACAACTACAGCTGAATATAATTATATGCAAGCATTTTTATGCAAACACTGCCTTTTCATTGCCTCTAGGGACACCTCCAAATGGCCACTCCTCAGATGGCCACTGGAGGTGCTTCCTGCCTTAGTGCGGCACAGTAGTCAACACTCTGCATGGGGAGGCTGAATTTTCCTCATAGAGATGCATTGATTTAATGCATCTCTATGAGGAGGTGCTGATTGGCCGAAATGGTGTTTGGCCCTGCATTGGATTGGTTAAGAATCGACAATTCCGATGATGTCACCAAGAGGGCAAAGCCAGTGCCGGCAGACCCGCCAGGCACTGGAAATAAAGTGAGTTTTAATTCCTTTTAAGGAGGGTAAGGGGGAGGGGCAAGCCACCTAAGTGGTGGGTTTTGCACTATAGGGTCAGGAATATGTGGTTGAGTTCCTGACCCTATAGTGTTCCTTTAATACTTTACCTTTTTAATAAACTAAAATAGTGTACAAGTGACTCTTTAAATGTTCCATTCTTATTTTAAATAGTTGTCTTCTAAAGCATTTCACATTCTTAGGTTGTTGGTATATATTTTGGTAACACATATACACATAGGTAGCATGAACGTGACGAGGTAGCTCAGACCATTTTCAATACAGAGATATAAGGGACATTTAGGACCAGTTACCTATTACAAAGAAGAAATCACAAAAGAAGCTAAATAATGTGAAATTTAAATGAAAGCCCCATTACATTTTTTTTTTTTTTTTAGTTTGAGGTAAATTAGTCAAGGCATGTGTCTTTAATTCTATTTTTTTTTTTGTCTGATTTTATTATTTGGTTCTGCACTGCTGTATGTGTTAATTACCCAGTGGGAGACCATTAAGACAAGAGTTTGTAGTCTCTTAATATATTTGAAATTAAAATCAGAAAAAAATAATAAAATCAAATAATGTGTTTCTAATGACCATTTATTTTCTTTTTGTAAAATAAGATAAAAAAATGAAATCTTAGAAACAAAAGCTAATGATATTTCTACAGTATAATTTCACATTAACAAAGCAATGAGCATCAACAGAATTCTGGAGGAAAAAACACTAAGGTTTAAAGAATTGTTCTGTGTCTATGCCCATCAAATCATTTAGTGTTGAGACTGCCAGCCATGGTTCCAATTAGTGCCAATTGTGATGTTGATTTTACATGATGTGGACACCTGCCCACTTAAATTGGACTCAGACCACCAACTCATATTACATAGGCAACTAAATGGCTATCAGAAAGATTTTACTCGAACAATGGATTAATCAAGGAAAGTTTTGACAGGCAGCAGTGTCTCATACTTTATGCAAAATTGTAAATAGCTAAAATCTCTGCACAGTTCGGGGGATGGAAAGGTTTAAACCCCAATTCATAGATTTATACAGAAAATCATTGAAATATTGAAGGAAATGTAAAAAAAAAAAAACACACAAAAAAAATAAAAACTATATTTAATCCACACTACTTCAAATGAAAAATATACTCCCAAAATCATATTATAATACTTGTATTCTCATTGAAGAATATTGTCATTTAAACACATGTATTTTGCCTAACCTTCATTAACCATCAATGATACAATCTTTACACCTCTGTGGTAAATCTTTACATAAACCCATGGTCCAAAACTGGCGATTTTGGTTTGCAGCAAAAATGTGCGATAGGATATCCAGACATTCTTGTTAAATGTAAAGCATCTTCACAAGTGGGGAAATGCTAGATTAGACCCATCAAAGCTATTTCATATATTTTGTTCCCAGTGTTGTTAGAGATTAAAATATTATGGGAGTAGTAGGCCATAGGTACATAATGTGAGAAACATTTTATCTAATTCCACTTTTTTTAGATACATTCAGTGACCATAATGCTGCAGGTATTATAGTGATACCATTGCTCTGATAACAAGCAAGTTACAACCACTTTAAATAAATTTAGAAACATGTACATTGAACAGTGTTAGCCAGCATATTGTGCAAGATATAAGTATGATAAGCGTAATAACAATAATAATTATATATAGCAGCTAAGATATGTAAATGCAAGGGTTTTTCTATGCTGTATAACAGAAAGAAAAGCATTGGGGGTTTTTAAAAACAAAAAAAAAAAAATCAGGATTGTAAAATTGATTGATCAATGACAACAAGAGTTATACTGGACAATATATTTATATCCTGTGAAATTACAATTTGCAGACAGATACATTTAGAACTGGAGAAAATGTGATTATTTTGTATTTTGACCACGTTTTTTAAATAATGACATAGTGGGGTTAAGGCAAAGTAAGTTACTAATAAGGAATTGAAATAGCAGTTTAACGTGAATATGCTATTCTTAAATACAGTGACAAAAAGGTATTCATTTAGGTTTATAGGGGAAGATTATAAAAAGTGGTGTTCTAAAAGGTTGTCTAAAGCATTAAAAGTTGGGCAATCACCATGGAGACCAGTTGAACCAGTAGGTACCTTTCATTAGTGACTCTTGTCCCTTTTACATTTGTACCAATTTTAAGAACAGACATCTGTGATAAATCTCCCTTATTTACTGTGCACAAGAATTTGTATGTGCATAGAAAAATGAAAAGACTCCTTATTATTATGGTGTTTGCAGAACAGATTAACCTTAAAATGTATAAATGTTGCAAACGTGTTGCAAACGTGGGCAGATAGGGTTATAATAATGTGTATGTATATGTCTTGAACTTATATACAACCTGTATTTAACAAAATAGTTACTGCATGTTAGATTTGGAAAAAGTAAATGTCCTCTTTATTGGTGGAAAAGTACTTTACCCTAAAATTAAGAACAGAGTAAACCTTACTTCTCAAGATACAAAGTAATGATAGACAAATACATTTTTTATCTCATTATGCTTTATTTCCTTATTTATAGACAACATTTGAGTTTAGGTTCAAGAGTATGTACCAATGGTGGAGGTTGACTGTGAATTTAGATATAAATATGCCCTACGCATTTCATACTGATCATACAAACCTGAGTATTAATGAGACAGTATTTGCTTGTGAAATGGTGCATATGTTTATGTGTAATCAAAGTAACAATTGTGTAAAAACTCTGTTACTCTTTGGATCATCTTTCTAGTAAAAAGTTGATGTAGGTGCTAGGGTAGGCACTAGGGTACAACTCAATTTACCAAAAATAAATTGGTACATAATTAGAAAGACTTTTTGGCACTTCTGCTTTGTGTTTGTTCCACTGTACTTTTCCTCTTTAAGGTGCTTAAACATTAAGTCCAAAAATCTACAGCATTTGCAATTTGTTGAAGGACAGATAGCACTTTATTCTGATACTCTATCTGCATGCATACCAAAATATTAACATATGAATTTAATTCCATACTTTTGCTGTCATTTCTATACAATGTGTAATTTTTCTACGATTTTAATTATTTTTTGGGGGGGTCATAGGACAAATATTGCAAGAAGTAAATTACAGTTTTACATTCAAACCATGGCAAAAAGTTGTCTTCTCCGACAATAACTTTAATAGTAGTCACATAATACATAACCTCTAAAGAAAAGTACATATTTGTAGAAAGGAGACCCCCAGGGCATTTTTCATTTAACCATTTTATCACTAAGCTATGCCAAAAGTATGTAAAAATAAAAATGTCTAGCCCTGCAAATATATATTATACTCACTATCTAGGTCACATAAACTGTGTCACTCTATCCATTGACCTTAGTGACACTTTCACCTTTCTTTTCCTCTTTCAGTGCCCCCCTCTACTCCTTTCTCCAAACTCTCACCCTCATTCACTCTCTAACTCTGACGTTCTGCTTGCATCTCTGTGTCCCTCTTTCCCTCAGAGCTTCTTTCTGCCTCTTTCTCTTGGTCTTAGTCAATTCTTCTCTGTTTCTCCTGGGGACTCTTCTGTCAGTCTGCTTGTCTCTAAGTCACTTTTTCTCTAATTTGCTCTCACTGTCCCGTACTTCCTTTTTTCACCCTCTCTGGGGCTGTATTTATTTCTCAAGCACCAGTACGCCCATAATTCTCAGGTTCCACCTACCAAAGAATTAATTCACAGAAAAGTAATATACATGCATATGGCGGGTATTTTTAGAGCCATATCTTTGTATCTTTATAAATGTGGAATTGCAGTAAATAAATAAGAGGTGAAAAAAGAAAAGGATCAATTCAAGCATGTATAAAGCATTTATAAAACCATTCTTTGAATTATGAAGGAAATAGATATTGCAGAAAACAACAATCAGACTATTGTGTTTATACTGTAAACTGGACCTGCAGGCCAATATAAAACTCTCTCTTGCGCCACGTGTAAGTATTGAGTGTTTTTGTATGTGTGTGTATATTATGACGTGTTGTGCGGTGTAAATGAATGTATGCGTGTGTTTATGTTATATTTATCTTGTGTTTGTCTACTTTAGATTGTAAACTCACTGTACAGATTGTATTAAAGTGTCGCACATGCTAGATTTTAGACTCATTTCCTTTTGTACTAGTTATGTATTGTGCTTTTTATTCAAACACTGCCTTCGATTAATGTGCCCAAAGTACAGCACGGCAGAAAATGCTGCTAAATTAGATTTTGGTGTTTTGATATGGTAGCTTGAAACTTAGTTCTCGAGTTTTAGAATATTTAGTATTTATTTAAACCTGACAGTTAAAGGATAATAAAACAATAAGGCAACCCACAACACTGGATAAGATGGCAATACGTTTTTTTTTTTCCATATGAGTGTGCACAGCAATCTTTCGACCAGCAAGACTTCTTCGTCAATACTTACAGTCAAAAAGTTGGCCAGTCCACACTCTTAATAAATCCATTTATTTTAACCTTATCAACTATTGAGGCTTTCTTCTTTGTTTTTATTATTCTTGTGGAAATTTAGGATGTTTAGGAAAGCTTCACCTTGGCCTGACCTAAAGGGATTTCTTGACCTCCTTACAAACTATCCTTGTGGTTAAAGGCTCAGTTCTTGACACGGTTGACTCAGCTCTCCAATTCTTTGAAGTTAATAAAACGGTTCTCCCTGATCTGGTTAATACAAGCATCTGAGACCCAAGACATAATTAAAAACTAGTAAAAAAAAAAAGTTTAATATGTCTTTCCTTGTTAATCTCTTCTGGACCACTAACGTGGCAGACTGTGACAATAACAAGGCGTATGACTAACCCCAGTTCTTAAGGGTTGAATATTTTTTAAATCACATGATCTAGGAATCACTAAATAACCCAATTAAGTAATATATTGTAATCAACACGTTTATCGTTATAAAATGATGGATTTAGAACCATTTTCTTTCTGTAAAATAATTTCACAAACATTTATAGATACAGCATTTTAGTGTACGATATTGGTTAAACCTTGTTTTTCAAAGATTTCCTTTTGCCCTTCATTCCATCTTCAGTTTTGAACATCATAATCCGCTTTTAATATGACAGTTGATTGAGTGGCCCAACCCGTAAGGTCTTGTAACGTACACACTTTATAATGCCTCCCTTTGTTTGTTATAATCACACTGCTGTCAGCTGGCCTTGTGTGAGATGTTTTCTTACATTATGACAAGATAGATTATTTTTACTTCCCACACAGGATCTTTAATAAATGAGTGTACACAATTGATCATATTTTATTGGAAACCATAAAGATGGGAATCGACTCATAAATCAAACAGCAACCTCTGTGATTTCTCTTGTTTATATGGGTGTTTTTAATATTAACATATAAGCCTTTTTTCTTAAACAATTGCATAACACTAGACACATTTAATCTTACAATTGCATAACACATGTCGTTCGGATTAAGAGATAACGAGTGTTAAACACAATTATAGTAGAGTTGGTTTTTTTCTACAGGCTGATAGAGTACACATATATGCTTTATTTCGGGGTTTTTTTAAGGAGGAAAACAAAGCTCTATTCCTGTACCAAATCAGCAAGGTTGGTTTTAAAGATAAAATGCAAGAAAGTCCCTAAACCTTTATCACATGCTGGAGAGACCCGGGACCTTATCCTTCAGAAATTAATCAGTGTGTGCAAGCCTACATTTACTGAATCTTGTGTAGGTTGAGTTTGGCAATGATAGCTCTCCTCCATAGTTTTAATCTGAGGATTGGATATCTAATGGTGGGTTCCTAGTTTTGTTTAGCCTATTTCCTGGAGTCCAAATTCAATGCTACCTGTTAAGTCTATTTAGCCTGTTCAAAAGAATAATGAGCTGAACATACGTTACAAGAGATATTAGTGCAGCCATAATAACAGTAAATTAGCCCTTTAGTGATGGGGAGTGAAAGGTGTCCAAATGGTTTGCAAATACACCTAAAGTGACCTGAATTAAGAATGGGTAATGAATGGCAGAAATATATAAAATCTGTTTTTGCCAAAACGTCAGTGGTCAGCATTGTTTTTTTTTTTTTTTATTGACACGTAGATATTCTGTAGGCACATTTATCTTTGGGATATTCTAGTGAAATTGTTTTATTTATAACGTCATGCAATTGTTTTCAATATTTGCATTGTATGTATGTGTTTTAATGAAAACAATAGATGAATATAAATTACTTATTATCTGCACTAATGTATAAAATTATTACCACCAGATGTTGGTACTATAGAAAATGGTGGCTCCCATATAAAGAAGTGGTTGATTATGGCTTAGGAATGTGCTGCAGGTCATGTACTATAACTTCTCACGATATCTGTTATCAATTTTTTGCTTATATATATAAAAATTAAAAATTGAAATGTTTCAATCCTGAAGCAAGGGGAAAATTATCAAACCAAAAGCAAATGGAATTCTAGGGAAAAGTGCCAAATCAGGAGCAATCACTATTAAAATCCTGGGCCTGACTGTCACAGACCAAGATACAGCAAGGGGCCAACAGTACAAACTTTGGGACTAATTCCTAAATCACACCGAGCTGGAGGACCACTGAAGGGATCCCAGAAGATCACATAGAACTTACTTGATTGCCACACGGTGATCACACACCACTACTCAAGAGGTTCGAGCAGGGCCGGCCTTAGGCCATTAGGCGCCCTGTGCGAAAGGTGTTCATGGCGCCCCCCCCAAGTTGCCTGTATACAGTCAGACAGTCACACAAATAGTTACAAGCAGGCAGTCAGACACGCTCAGTTGCAGGCAGTCAGACACGCTCAGTTGCAGGCAGTCAGACACACACACACAGTTACAGGCAGATAGTCACAGAGCAAAAAAACACACAGTTAAAGGCAGACAGTCATACACAGTTACAAGCACACAATCACAAACAGTTACAGGCACACAGTTACAGGCGGACAGTCACACACACAGTCACAAGCAGACAGTCACACATACTCCATTACAAGTAGACAGTCATACACATTCAAATGCAGAAAGATAAGTCCTGCACTCACTCCCATCACTGGGCGGCAGGAATGACTACAGTACACATCAGCCCCAATATATAGTAAAAAAAACAAAGAAAAACAAGTTGCCTGCGCTCTCTCCTTAATTTTAAAACAAATGGAGATTTTCTAGTTACCTCCAATGGCCATGAGAGGATAAGCCCACCTGCCAACATCAAGGCAGACTCCCCAGGTGGGTCCTAACTCTAACCATTCACCTTGCTTCCTTGAGCTTCTGGCAAAGATCTTTAATGAGACAGAAAGGGGCAATTTTTTATAAACACCCTTTATATTATTAACCCTTAATAGGGAACACATGGGATGGGCAGCTGCATTGTAACAAGGCTGAGTGATACAAAAAATAGATACAAATGCAGAAAGATAAGTCCTGCGCTCACTCCCATCACTGGGTGGCAGCAATGACTACAGTACACATCAGCCCCAATATATAGTAAGAACCAAAGAAAAACAAGTTACCTGCGCTCTCTCCTTAATCCCTATGTATTTTTAAACAAATGGAGTTTTTTTAGTTACCTCCAATGGCCATGAGAGGATAAGCCCACCTGCCAACCCCACCTGCCAACGTCAAGGCAGACCCCCCCATACACACTCTGTTACAGGCATGCAGAAACTCATGCACGCTGATAGGCACACACTCCGTTAAAGGCAGATAGTCACACATACAGGCACACACAAATGGCACAGCTACAGTGACACACACAGTCAGACAGTCACACACAGGCAGAAAGTCACACACAGGCAGAAAGTCCAACACACACACACACACAGTCACACATACACACTCACGGAGCCAGTCACACACAGTCACACACACAAGCAGGTAGACAGTCACACAGACAGACAGTCACACACACACACAGGCAGACATACAGACAGTCACACACACAGACAGGCATGCAGACACACGTAGGCAGTCACACACAGGAAAACAGTCCCACACAGGCAGTCACACACACACACACACACAGACTTACCTCTTTCCATTATGGCTGGAAGGGGGAGTGGATGCAGTTGGTTGTTGGGGAAGCAGGGACTCCTTCCCTCTCCCTGTGCAGCAGTTACCAGGGGCTTAGGGTAGGTATTAGCCCCACCTCTGCCTCGCAATTTTTATATAGACTCGGGTGGAGAATAAGGAAATCCTCCACCCCGGTACCTGTTTTAGCTCCCCTGCACTCCTGTCACCCAGCCATGTACGAGCTGTGTCGGCCACATGGCGCCCCCTGGTCCATGGTGCCCTGTGTTCTAAGGCCGGCCCTGGGTCTTACAGACACAGGCTGATCACGCAGTTGAGCCCCGTTAAATCTTCCTAAAGGTTTATTCCAAATTTTTTGTACATTGTAAATAT